GGCCGGATTGGAAAAATGGCTTGTGGGGGTGTCGGTGCGCAGTAGTAAAAATTTGAAGATGTTGTTGAAGAGGGTGGCACAACCGCCGGCCGATGAGTGGGCTCGCGGACGGAAATGATGGGAAGGCTGTGGTTTCCCGAACATTTTGGGTAGTAACAGATTGAATAAGAATAATACATAGCATGGTCAGAATCTGACGGAATGGATGATGTGGCTGCCGCCGTCGGCAAAGGCGGTCTGGCGATTTCAATGTTGGTATCCGGTTGAATGAGGACGCCAAAGCACAGATAACCAAAAACGCTTCAGACAAAAGCTGCGACAAACTATAGAGGTTTGATTTTCAAAATAGGTTGTACAGCCCACCACCCTGTGATAACCAAAACCGCCAAACAAATCAAAATTGAGTATACGCATCCGAAACTTATCGACGATGGAATCAGCATTGTCTGCATCGGACGGAAAGGTAAGTTGTTGTTCTTCACAGAGAAATGACAAAATGAAGAGGGCTCATGCCAATGTACCGAATAAGATGCCGCATAATGCGTTGCCACCACGTATGCAAATGGCACCCATGTTCTTCGATTCCACCCATCAAAGGCCACCATAGTCCACGCAACATGCAAAAAGATAAATATACAAGTAGTTACCGCTACCAGGAGCGTTTGAAGACAATGCGTCAGTGACATCTGTTTTTGTGGGCGAATGGGACGCGCTTTTCGGTCCTCACCCCCAATAAAAAAGACGTCCGCCCGTGGACAGGAATTACAAACTAGGATCGCCGGGCCCCCCGATTCCGCCAGCGACGTGATGTACGTTATGACACCGCTCATTAACCCAAACCCAAATCCGCTCACTTGATGTACGGGCTATGTCAGATCCCGGACTTATATTGTAGGACCAAGCACAGGACTCACCAAAGGTATGATTGAACCAATTCAGCGGCGAGTTTGGATTCGCCGCCACCATATTCAAGCCTTTTTCCGCCTTACTGTCCATAAGAAGACAACGAATGATGAATATGAATGGAATTATCATCGGATCCCGCCTGTTGCGAAACTAGGTGCCGGGAGGCCTGGACATACCTTAACAGCCGGAAAAACAAGTACCTCCCCCCCTCTTGAAAAGCTACGCTAAAGAGTATGGTACCAAAAGGTGGTGGTTTCGATATGTACCATAATATCGAGGAAGCGAGAATGGATATTAACCAAAAGAATGCACTTTGGAAAGAGGTTCTGCGTGAATACGAATACTGAGGGTTGGACGTGCAGAACTTCAGAGTACCTCGTCATCATCAAGAGGACGAGTTGTGCATTTCTGGCTACATAGAGGAGAAAGACGGCTAGAGCTGCCCCGTAGGCTGTTAGGAAGCAACCGAAGAAGCTTGCCAAGGTCATTTGGGTTGGAAATTGGTCCAGTACACGAACAATGCGCAAGGTCAACGAGGAGAGGCAATGGTGCGGCGTTTTGTCCGAGACCTGGCTTGCGCCACTTGGGATTCTGAGGCGGACACGAACTCATTGGTCTCATTGGTCTCGCATTCATCGTGCTTGAACGTCCAGCTTGAACTTTGTACATACTAGCAGCGCGGGCGCCCCTTTTCCAGTGTTCCGACTCTGGCCGTCATTTTCACAAGTCATGCGAACAAGCAGCGAGTTAAGGTGAGGATGTACCTCTGACCTGCCTGCACGACACCGCGACAAACCCGCCCTTTTGTACAATGCCAGACGTGGGTGGGAGGCCCTATTTAAGGACCCGTTGCTGTCCATGGATAAGGTCAAGGCGAAAGGTTTTACTGGGGCAATTACAGACGACGACCTTCGCAGTCTGTATTGGAAGGTGGGATGGACGCGCCAGCACTTATGTCAAGCCGGAGCACCTTCGACGAGGCACGCCAGACGCTCACACGATTCTTGCTAACGTGGATCAGATATACCTGGAGTACCTTCCTAGTTTGAATCCCGACGCGTGGCCATTGATTCTTGCAAAGGAGCGTCAGGGTTACGAAAACCTGAAGAAAAAATACATTTTTGATCCCAACAAGGCGTCGGAAAACAATGATTGGACATTGAATAACCCGCTGAGTTTGGCAGAGGAGGTTGTTTCACTTTGCGACTGTGACATGGCAGTGCGATGTTTTTATACGAACATAAGCTTTCCCAATGTAGAGTCCATGGACACAGTATTTCAAAGACGCCGAGCTCCAAAAAGTGATTCGCCAAGATGTTGAACGAACGTGAGCTACTCGTCCGTTACCAGCAGGAGATTGAACGCTTGATTTTTACAAAGTTTGATAGATTTCCCGATCAACCCATATTCCGCACGTCGGAGGTCCAATCCGTCATGTCGGACATCTTATTTGTCTGGTGCAAGCTCAATCCTGATGTGTCTTACAGACAAGGCATGCACGAGCTACTTGCTCCCATTCTTCTGATCGTGGAAAGGGATAAACTGGACCCGAAGGAAGGCAGGGAAAGGTACGTCCCTGTGATTCAAGCAGCACATATATTGTCCTTACTTAGTCTGTAACCTGCCAGTCTTGACCCCGTCATGGTCGCGACATTCGATCCAAAGTATGTCGAACATGACTCTGCCGTCCTATTCTATCGGATCATGCGGTCCGCCAAACCCTGGTTCGAAGTTGGCCTAGATACGCCAATAAGAAAACCAGCGCGGGGAATCAAGGGATCAAAATACGGGGAACATAGGGGCGAAGTTGAGGTGGATAGCCCATGAGTCGATTTAGGTTTTTCAAAGAGTCATTACTGACTTGACACCGGGGACGGCCAGAATAAACCCATCCCGATAATTGCAGTTTGTCGGAGGGTGCAAAACGAACTGTTGAAGGTGCTGGATTATGAGCTTTTTCAGCATTTGGAGAAGCAAGGGATAGAACCTCAGCTATATGGACTGTAAGTGAATGATCTCACTGCTCCGATGCCGTTTTCTTGTCGCTAACTGCCGAGGGCAGGCGCTGGCTACGTCTTCTTTTCGGTAGGGAATTCCCCATTCCAGAACTTTTCCACCTGTGGGATGGCATATTCGCGGAGGATCCGAATTTGGGCCTCGTCGAGTGGGTGTGCGTAGCTTTGTTGGTCTACCTTCGGAAAGATTGTAAGTGAAGTATCATGATGTCGTCGTCCTGCTGTGCTAGTCTCCTAATTTGGTAACGGTACATAGTGGTCGGAAGCGATTATGCGATGACAATGCATCGTCTCATGAAGTTCCCGTCAATGGACCAATTGGGAACCACCGTCTCCCAATTTATTGACAGCGCGAAAGGTCTGCGTCAACGATATGCTCAACGCGCCCTATTGCTCGCATCCAATAGCGGCAGACCAGCCCAACCCACATCACAAGGTCAACCCATTGAGCCTGTCGCACGTCCGTCATCATCGAGAAGACCACATGTGCCTTGGCTCAACCACACAGACCGCCAAGTATTCACTCCAGTTCCTTCGCCCGCTGCCCCGAGCCAAGAGCCGAGGTCGCCTAGCAGCCAACGAGCGTATCCCCCAGTGTCGTACCCACCGGTAGCAACTGGTAGCCCCAGGGATGCTCGGCGGAACAGCGCAGGGTCCGGGAAGCAGTCGGCCTCATCACCGGTACCCTCTCCTCCGTTATCGCCAAAAAGCCAACCCGATGCTCATAAACCGGACCAAGTCCAGGTGCACATGGCACACCTCACAAAGCAGCTGCAACACTATCGTGAACGTGATCGAACTCTTGTGAAAAAGATTGAGCGCACTGTAGGAATTTTGAGGGACATCCTTAGAACAGAAGAAGGGGTTCAGGTTGTGAGAAGAGCGGCAGAGATCGAAGGAGTCGTGGCGGAACTCGTTGCTGTAGCGGGAGAGCTGAAACCACCTTCCATTTCGGACGGCGGTGGGGATAATCCGGCGCAAGCGCAGATTGGGAAGCTTGAGGCTGAAAGCCTGGTTAAAGGACCAACCTCTGCCGTGGGCTCAGATAAAGCTACGTTCGACGCAATGAACGCAGCGGACAAGATGGAGTCGCGGAACTCACAGAATGACCCCACGCCGGCAGTACCGGCACAATCGGTTGCCCTGGCCGTTAACCCGACCGATGCACTTTTAATACCGAAGCCGAGTGATTCCTCGTCATCTCCACCGAATGCACTCGCAACAGCCCCACCAGGGAAGCCATACCCACGTTGGGGATCGTCCGCGGAGATTCGCAACTCTCCCGCGCCATCTCCTACCATTTCGATCTCGTCCACGTCTGGCAGCACCACCCAAGGATACTTCCTTGGCAAACCAGGTGGCCATAATCTCCCGTCCGCGGCTTCGACCACCAGCAGCGCATCGGATTCTGGCTCAGCAGTCCTGCGACCCAATACACCTGACCCCTGGGCTACCGAGTCCACCGATGGGACAGAAGACGAGGTATTGGCGGACGTGTTTGAAGATCCATGGGCCGATCATGGCGATGGAAGAACCGGTGGGACGGGTGTCGGAGCGGGTGGGAGGAGAAAGGGGAGTTCGTCTGATATCAGGCATGGAACCGGCGCAGCGGGGGGTGATCTCCAGCGGAAATCAAATCCACCTAGCCTTGCCCGAGTTCCTCCGGCGCAACAGACGCGTGCAGTGGAGGCGACAGCGCCCGTACAAGCGGTCGAACCGGTTCATAGCGTTAGCCCAACATCACCGAGGACTGCTAGAACCACTTTGAAATCCAGAGATCCTCTGGGAGCAGGCTTCGCTGTGGGTGGAGGTGGTGGATTGACTGTTCCTCAGCGTTCCGAAGTGAAGGTGGATCCATTATTGCGGTCTTGAGGTTTTGGGGGGAAATTCTTTACATGTACAGAGTTTTGTTTGGCACAACTTTTTCGCTCCTTTTGTACAATGTTTGTGTTGCCGCAATCATATCCGCGGATTGCAGCCTGTTACCTGTCTCACCACTCATACAAGAGATGTTCTTTGTCCAAGGGAGGAAGTCGCGATCCCTATCTCAGGTTCAGTTCCACCTTCCTCACACCTGTAGACACGATAGCCAAGATGGTTACGGCGATTGACTAGAAAGTACAGCTCGAAATCAAATGGGATTTTCCCGCACAGGTTCGAATCCTGCTCGTGTCGGTGGCGATCCTAAATATCCTCCCGTCAACTCGGAGTGGTGATGCCACGGAGGGTTTGTTTCTCGTTTTTTGTGTTTTCTGTTTAAAAAAAGTGATTTTTGTTTTGTTTGCTGTTATAAAAGCGTGCTCTGTTGAAACGTGGTGTGATGTCGGGCAGCAGGACAAGAATTGGTGGAGATCCGCAACCCAAATAAACTTTCCGTCGTGCGCAAGATTTTCGTTGTTGGTCTTCCACAATTATTTACATCACAACATCCCAGTACGACAATCCCACCCGCCTTGTCACCGCCCCAATTGCAGCCCCCGCTGACGCCCTCGACAAGCTCATTCTTTCAAAGAGCTGTGGGAGGGTGGGTTGACGTTGTCGTTGTCCTTGTGGATGTGGCACGGCGGATGGTGGGTGGGTGGATGGTGGTGATGGCACCGCGGGCGGTGGTGGCGCTGAAGAGTTCAAGGATGACCGTGGAGAAGTTGATGGAGCGGGTATGAGGTATTGGCGGATGGAGAGTTGGCGGAACGTTGTTCTCGGTCGGGGATGTGTGGTTGAGGAGGTCATCACTTGCACCGAATCTCGTTTGTGAGCAGATGGTTTTGCGAACGGAGGGGAACGCGTCCTCCAAGCGTTGCTTAGGTAATCCGTCACACAGAATCGCTTTACGGTTTATAAACTTGCCGCTCGACTCGACATTTTATTCGTCTCTGCCCGGCTAGCTCAATCGGTAGAGCGTGAGACTCTTAATCTCAAGGTTGCGGGTTCGACCCCCGCGTTGGGCTCTTACGTTACAGTGTTCTCAGAAGGTAGCACCTTCTGAAAGTTTTTTTATGTTTCCTTCTGGTTGAACTTTTTGGCATGTGGGACCGGTAATTCAATGGCCGACAAAGTGTGCGTTCATTTATGAGCGAGTTGCATGAGCCTGGTTGCTTGAGCTTGTAAAGATGCGTGAGTAAGATTTCTTGCCCAGGCTACTAGTACTGTAGTTGCTGATCCGATTGGTATATTCCAAAACACACGACGCCTCTCCCGTTAAAAATGAACATATAAACAAGAAATGGATAACGATAACACCGATTGATGCCGCCCCGCCCCATAACGCGTCTCTTCCGATTTCACAGCCCGACCACCGCTTCCTCCTTGGATTCATTCCACTTGATCAACCGAGCGTCAATCACTTCCAAATCCAACCTCAAAAGCCCGCCACCGCCGACCGCATCCTCGTGCCCATGGGTTTCTCCACCAGGTAACGCCGCGACAAGCGACAAGCGCGGAAAAGTTGAGGCATCTTCGACGAGACCGTTTGCGTTAACGCATACTCTATTGCACCGGCGCGGGGATGGGGATACCATTGGGCTCGGTTGTGATTGGTACGGAACCAGGCGAATCAGATCCGTGACCGTCACGTAAGGAGCCGTTTGGGAGGGGTTGGAGTCTGAGGCGGGAAGGTAAATGTATGGTGGAGAGTCAGACTCGCGGTGTCTGGTAGAGAAAAGAGGAAGGTTTTAGAATGAAACTATAAATTGTGCATCGCCTTTTCACACGTTAAAAGCAGATATGACTTACGGTTCGTGACCACCGTCAAGCAGCCGCTTGGCGACCCGCCCCCTCCATTTTTGATGCCTGGGTCTCCCTTCTGTATTCTTGAATAGCGCGTGCAACTTTGCAATCTGCGCCCTGCTTTCTTTGGAAAGGCCCGACTCGGCCGACAACACGTCCAACAACTCTGTAAAGTTCCCGTCCAGCGGTAAAGGAAGGGACGATGTGTCGACCACCGTTGAAGGAAGAGAGAACGGCACGAGGGACCTTTCCTCGGGGTAAGATGAGGATGGAGGAAGTGCTAGAGGTCGTGGTGATCCATCAAGGTAGCGACCGGCCGCAGCCTCACTACTTATCGACGAGAAAGCTTTCCCGGCAATGTGTCCGTGTCCTCCCGCGTGCGGACGTATTGATCCAGGGAAGAATAACATAGCAAACGAAAAGAGGAAGACCTGATGACAGGGGGAGGTATGGCGTCAGTGACATTTTCGCACACACCGAAGCGGCAATTTAGTGCTAACGATAAGTATCGAAACCAACCATAAAAACAGCGCCAACGGTTTTCTTCTTTGGCGGTTCCAAAAATGCATCCATTGAAGGCCTGCGTTTCGAGGGCACCGCCAACCGCATTGTCGGATCATAGTCAATTGCAACCCTAAAGCCGTCCCCTCCCCGTCCCCTTAACCTTTCATTCTCATCCATCAACACGCGATTTGTCTGCTCTAATTCGAGTACTTTGTGCCTCAATAAATCATTCTCCGCCACAAGCTGCTGAGCAAGATTCTCAAGATTTTGTAAATGTTCCCGCTTTCGTCTCCGTGATTGATCAGCTGCTTCACGGTTCTTGATCATACGCTCGTGTCGTTTGTTTGCAGCTATTTGCTCCGGTGTTAGCGCTGGTTCCTTTGTGGTAGAGGATGTCGAGGAAGGGCTCGCGTTCCCAGGTTGAGTACTGATACTGACAGGGTTGACCGTATTCGCCGCATCTGACTTTGACTCCTCCTTCTTTGGTACAAGAGTCGGGAAGGCAGCAAAATTGATCTTCACAGTAGGTACCGTGGACACGGCGGCATTAGGAGATTCATCGTCTTCTTTTTTGACTGATACCAAGCCTGCGTCTATGTATGAACAAGAACCCACATTAATATTTGAACCAACGCATATACCAATGAATAAAACCTACTGGAAGGTTTCCCCGGAGCCTCTGCCTTCTTTCTTTTCCCCGTCCGCCTCTTTGACGGCTCGCTCAGCAGTGCCCGACACGCATCCGCCGTCCCCGACTCCAACACGGCGCTCACATCCAACACTTGTGCGCGTGTGTCCACCAGAGGCGCAGGTGGCGGCGAGGCAAACAATGCATCACTCAGAGGAGATGACGGCGATTTGACAATCCCCAGATCCACATTCTGACCCAAAAAGGCGGGGAAGCTGTGAAGAAGGCTGTCCGGATCGGACTCTGATCCAGGATCCATCCGCCATGTAGTTGTGGGTGGGGATGCGGTTTGAGACGGGGAAGAGCAGGAGGCTAGAGAGTCGAAAAGTAGGCTTGGGCTGGAGGGTGCGAGAGGTAACTTTGACCCAGCGGGATCTGCCGAGCCTTCCGACAGACAGTCTTCATTGATGAAAGAGCGAAGGAGCTCGTCGTCGGCAGTTGTGAAGGAGAGAAGCGGATCCATATTGGCCAATTGGCTGATTCGCACACGCGTAGAACAGTATGGGAGCACCGTTTTGGCCTTCAAGCAAAGCGTGTGCAGCCAAGGGGTGTCAACTGCGTCGGTGAGAAAACAATTGCGAAGGTCACGCCCTGTTTCAAAGCGAGGGAGTTGACGGGACGATTGCGTGTGGGACAGCTAGAGTGTTTGTGAGCGTAAGCGTGAGAAAGAGGAGAATTTGGTTGGCAATGAGATCAGGCAGTGAACACCCAAGCGCCAGAAGAAGGGGGCGATGGAAGTGGGCGGAACTTCAATCCGAGTTGGCGGGCTGAGGGCTTGGCCGGAAAGCCTCAGTCAAGCCTCAGGGGCCGCCGATAGATTCGCCATGCAGTCCTCGATTGTGCAACATCAGAGCACAACCACCACCATGCACCAGATGCACCATCCACCAACCAGATCACCCAAAACAACCACCTGCAGTCTGCACAACAACCACCACCGCCCAACTCGTCCGACAGAAGAGGATTCCCGTCCGATGCGCGAGGCATTTCCTTTACCATTATTCCTTGATGTAAATTCAACCACAGGCTTCCGTGCGTTTATCCCCCTTGGAGGATCTATTCGGCGCGGATGTACCTGCTGAATTGGTGCATGGAGACAAAGTGGAAGAACAGTGTGTGGGAGAACGTTTTCACGACAAGCAGCACCGACGGTGGCGCAGGCGATCACGTAATGGTATCCACTCAGGTTCGACGTGCCATCGTCGGATCAAAAGAGCTGTGGCCGGAGACGAGCAGGAATACCAAGATCTTTTGACCAAGTGTTCTCGGTCCTTCAATTCACTGCATATACTGGATGTGAAGAAACGAGTCCTTATTTGAAACAGTGGAGAGGAAAGGTATCTAGAAGACCTCCATGAAATACGACGGATGCAAGCATCCAGAACATATGCCATCGTAGCCTGCGCAGACCATGCGGTTTGAACGACCAGCTCCGTCAGTTCCCAAGAGGTCCCAAAGCGAAAATGGGAGTAGTGTACACTGCTCCTTGAAGAGCAAACACGTTGCATTTGCGGTGTCAGCCGTTCTCTGCGAACCTCGAAGGTCGGTTGGTTGCAGGAAGTTTGTGAACAACCTATTAGAAGCCATCAAAGCGGGATCCACACAAAAAATAACTAGATAACAGATTCGGTGCTAGTCGACGATTATCACCGTGGTCTTGCAAAACACGAGATGTGCTATTGAAATCAATTTTTTACATGAAGCGTTTCATATAAATATCGCGAATATGCAAAGAAGCATCACACCCACACCCACAAAGGGAGAGGGAACCAGAATTAAGAAACTCCGTAACCTACCGACCGTCACCCAATCACAGCCTCACACAACCCCATCAACATGATCCCAAGTACCACCCCAACGCTCACAACCTTCTTCC